GACCCCGGCCTGATGGTGGAATTGAACTGAGGACCTTCTTGCTGTGCGGCAACAGTGCTAACCACCATGCCACCGTGCTGCCCTATATATTTAAATTCAATTTTACTTTAATATTACTTTTACTACCTCCAAATAACATAAATTTTGTTTTACTTTCACTCAATGATAGTTTGTTAAATACAAACCATCTATTTAACTTCATGAGTTCTTTTCCATTGTTTTCAGTCATTTCTTTATGTCCTTTCCAGAACAAAATAAGTTTGTATCATCAGCAAATATCACATATTTTAAAGTATCACTGGGTGTACAAATATCATTTATATAAAGTAAAAATAACTTAGGTCCCAAAACAGATTCTTGCGGAACTTCACAAGTTACTTTTCTAAGCTTAGATTTCATGTTATTAATACTCACATATTGGAACCTATTATTCAAGTAACTATTTAACCAAAATTGTATAACACCTCTTAAACCATACCTTTCACACTTCTGTAAAAGTAAAGAATGATCTATTGTATTGAAGGCTTTACGTAAATTAAGAGTTAACAAACAAACACACCAAGAAACATCAAGGGTGAAAGACATAAAACAGGCCCGATGATAGTTAAAACTAATTTGATCCAAAAGCCAAAGTGAAAAAATGAGTTTTAAGAAATGATTTAAAAGAATGTATAGACTCAGAAGTGCGAATAGAAGCGCAGAGACTATTCCAGAGTCTAGGTGCTGCAATTGCAAAGGCCCGATCACCTCTGGACTTCAGCTGGGATCTAGGTTGTTCTATGAGCATCTGGCAAGATGATCTTAGTGCCCTCCTGGGGTTATACAAGCGGAGGAGTTCAGTCAGGTAACTGGGTGCCAAATTGTTTAAAATTTTAAAAGTAAGCAAAAGAATTTTAAAATCTATATGGTGTTTGACAGGGAGCCAGTGCAAATTAGCTAGAACTGGGGTGATATGATCATACTTTCTAGTACCTGTTAGAAAGCGTGCAGCAGCATTTTGAACTAACTGCAAGCGGTAGAGGGAGGATTGTTGGAGGCCCAGGTATAGAGAGTTACAATAGTCCAGTCTAGAGGTGATAAATGCATGAATAAGTTTTTCAAGTACTTTTAAAGGAATATAGGGCTTCACCTCTGATATCAAACGCAACTGATAAAAGCTAGTTATTACCACTGAGGACACTTGCTTCTCCAATTTAAGAGAGCTATCCAAAAACACTCCAAGGTTTCTTACCGTGCGAGAGAGATGGCTGGCAAGAGGACCAAGGGTGTCTGTTAACTGACCCAGAGGGGTATGACTATCAAAGACAATTACTTCAGTTTTATTTTCATTCACAGTGAGAACGTTTTGTGATAGCCAAACTTTAACATCACTAAGACAGCTGAACAAAGGTTGTAGTGGGTCAGAGACATCCAAGTTCAGGGGGAAGTAAATTTGGAAGTTGTCGGCATAGCAGTATTTTATAGGGGTCTAATCAGTGAATAATAAAAAAAAAATAATAATAATGATACAGAACAAAATGCAATAAAAATAAATGTAAAAAAGATTAAAAATCACAGGCTGAAGTGGAACATCGCAGCATTTCCAGTTGTTCTCAGGACCTGCAGTAGGCTCTTCAAGCTGCTTGCGCAATAAAAAGCCTAACAATGCCTCCTCTCTTGCACTTTGAAATAAAGAGCAGATTCCTGCAAGGGGACTTTATTTTTCCCAAAAGTTGGGAATTTCCTGTGTTACACGTGCCAAAACATAAAATCCTAAGGGCATGAAAATCTAATTCAGTTATGTAAGGCCAGATTCAATTCAATTCAATTCAATTTTATTTATATAGCGCCAAATCACAACAAAAGTCGCCTCAAGGCGCTTCATAGATACAGAGAAAAACCCAACAATCATATGACCCCCAGATACAGAAACTAATTTGCCTACAGTCTAAAAGAACAAGATGAGATGACATACAGGGTGAGACTGAACACATCCACATTTTCACTGACATCGAACAAAAGCTTCAACAGTGTGAAAAGAAACTTGTGCTTCGGCTGATGTTTTTTACTGAGCTGGACTCTCACAGGTACTATATTTCTCTCTGTTCCACTCCTTTCCACCTTTTGTATCCCTCTGTACACTTTGACTGAACAACTGCTCGCAATAATATCCTTGGTAGAGCAGACTCCTCACAGCAGAGCAAAAGGACTCAGTCCACTGGGAAATGTCTCCAACTGACGTCATAAAAGCCCAAGACCAGCATAAATTGGTTAATTTTTAATGCAATTTTTTTTTTACATTATTTGGGGGCTTCTCATTGTCATTATGTTATGCAGTGACGAGGAGGCAGGAAAGCAGAGAGCCAGTGAGCGCAGGAAGACATGCAGCTAAGGGCTGTGTTGGAGTCTGACCTCTGCCTCTGCATTCAATCTTGCAGATTACCTGTTGGACCTGTTACCTGCACCAGCTAAACTGGTGCTGCATGAATTGCTGTTTTGCGGTTTTATTTTGTCTAAATGAAAAACCTCAAAAATTAATTTCCATATTATATAGGCTCAAAGAACTAGGAAGCGGCTAAAAAGAAAACAGTTTGGCGTTTGTTCTTAGAAGTATGACTCAAAAATAAATTAAATAGATCAAAACATTAAGTATAAGCGAAACTAAAACTAAACGATGAACATCCAGGAACTCCCTGCATGTTTTTGAGACCAAGTGAATTTATGTGCCGACAAAAAAATGAAAAAATATTTATGTTCAGGTGACTCTGGAGGAGGTCAACTCTCAGATTGCTTTGGAGTACGGCCAGGCGATGACTGTAAGAGTCTTGAAAGCAGACGGTGAAGTGATGCGTAAGTGCTGAAGCGGCCTTGTTTTCTGTTTACATGCTTTTTAAATTCGCAAAGCCTTTTATACTCCTCTGATTTAAAAAAATCAGAAAAATCAAAAACATACAAACTGCTTTTTTTTTCTCATAGCGATTGTGGTGGTGCAAAATGCTACGGTCCTTGATCTGAAGAAGGCTATTTGCAGATTTATGGAGCTAAAACAGCAACGGGAAGGCGGCGTGAAACACATCAGCTGGTAAACACACTCACAAACACAAGAATGAAAAAGGGCATGTTTAAAAAAAATCATATTTTTACTCTTTCCCTGTGTTCTGTGTTTCCAGGAGATATGTTTGGAGGACGTATCATTTAGTATTTCAGGGCGAGAAGCTCGAAGATGACAAGATGAGGCTTAAAGAGTAAGTGTATCAAGTTAGCACTTTATTTAACAGTGTTGATAACACTTATTATCCATTCACCCCCTCCCTCTCTTTTTTCATTTGTGTATATCTTCAGCTATGGGATCAGGAACAGAGACGAAGTGACGTTCATGAAGAGACTCAGGAAAAAGTGAACCACGAAAAACACTGTTTGCTGCAGTCCTCGTGTGTGCTCGTGCTCACAGCGTTTTATTCTTAAAATAACTTAAAAAAAATGTTGCTGTAGTTTTTTAGCCTCTCAAAGAGGCTTCATGTAAATAAAATATTTATAAGTTGTCTCTTTTGTTTCCAGTGTGCAGTTATGCTTTAAAGAAGCCAGACTTTCTTGTACTTCTTAAAGTCATTATAGTTCTTCAGGTTTTCTAAAGGTATTTGTTTGCCTTTGGACACTGGATGCTTTCTCACTCACTTTCATTCCAGTCCTTGTACCTTTGAGCTATGAAGCATTCAAGCACAAACAAGACACCTAACCCAAAGTATGAACCAGCGTTGTATCTACACATTTCAGACATCCAAGCAAAGAACCACTTAAATGTGATATTTAGGCACTTTGTTACTGGCAACCTGTCACAAAACACATGATATGTTCCACTTTCTTATTTTGAGTCTGCAGAATGGTCAGATAGGTTTCACAGGCATAAATAGTATTTTGTGCATAAAGGTGATTTCCAAAGAGCTACTAGGCAAAACCTTTGCATATCTCACCGTGGTGTGCAGCATGTCCTTAAAAAACATTAGTGGAGGCCAAAAGAAGAAGTGCAGCAGGTAAACATAATCTGAAAAAAAAAATGCAAATAAAAATCCAGCCATGACCTGACTCAGGACCTGAAAGATACATTTGGCCCTTCAGTCGGTCCATAATATGGTTGCTGAAGCAGAGTGGCTGTCAAGGAGTCATTCTTGAGGAAGGGGGACCAGGTGAAAAGGCTGAGGTATGCAAATTTCCACAAGAGTTCTACTTAAAGTCAGTGGAAACAGTGCTTTTACAGAGTGATGAATGCATATTTGAAAGTTTTGGTTCAAACCATCTTAAGTGTGTACAGAAGAGGTCAAGAGAGAAGTAGAAGAGTGAGTCTCTACAAACATCTATAAAGCACGGTTATATTTTGGGCTCCATCTAATCGAGTGTTGTTGGGAATCCTGTCAAAACAGATGGAATAAAGAATGCAGAAAAAGAAATGGCCTGTACTTGTATAGCGCTCTGCTAGTCCCTAAGCACTCACACACTGGTGATGGCAAGCTACATTGTAGCCACAGCCACCCTGGGGCGCACTGACAGAGGCGAGGCTGCCGGACACTGGTGCCACCGGGCCGTCTGACCATCACCAGTAGGCAACGGCTGAAGTGTCTTGCCCAGGGACACAACGACCGAGACTGTCAAAGCCGGGGCTTGAACCGGCAACCTTCCTATTACAAGGCAAACTCCTAACTCTTGAGCCACGATCGCCCCAAACTTACGACCAAACTTTGACCCACCATTCAATACCAAGAGGAAAGCAACTGATTGGCAATGGCTTCATTTTTCAGCATAGTGTGCTTTTCCTGCCGGTGCATTAAAAATAAAAACACACTGGCACATTGTTAACTATGGACTGGCCTCTCTAGAGCCCACACCTCAACATTACTAAAGCAGTGTGTGATCAGAGCTTTAAATGTCCTTTAAAAACCCTGGAGAACTATTCCTGAAAACTACTTAAAGAAATTACTAGAAAGCTTGCATAAGAGAGTTCAGAATGTGTTGAAGAATAAAGGGGCCAACCAACTATTGGCTTTCAAGCTTATTAAAATTGTACAGAATAGTTTTTACATTGCAAACTGTGTTCGTGCACATGTGTAAATCCCCATTTTCTTAGCAAAAGATAAAAAGATGGGGTCTAGAGACTTTTGCATACCTGTGCAATAACATAGCTGTTTTCCTAGGCTTGCATATAAGGTTATAACCATAACCTGATGATTTGAATATTCCCTGAGAACAGTTTGCTGTTGTTGAACCAGTACCAGTGTTACCGGATATACACGATACGGCAGGAATAGAAGAAAGGTAAAGCAGATATCTTCTATTAAATAATGGTGAAATAGTTTTTTATAAGGTTACAAGTTGAGATGTTAGATTAATGTTACAGCGGAGCATCAGTGCAGTTGGATACTTATTTGAACTTGTTTTATATAAGATTGATCAGACGATTACACGCAATCATCAGCGTCCGTGTCTCTTTCTGTTTCATAGATCTTTTGCTTGTTTTCTAAGCATCCAATCAGACCTGAGAAGCCATGTTTCTTTTAATTAGCTGCAGATGGTTGTGACCAATTTATCTGATTCAGAGAAAGCAGCACATTTGACTACATGCTGGATGAACTCATGTCCTGCATCTTTTTTATTTCATATCAGCAGTAATAAACTTTATTTCTATAGTTTATTTGCAAAATAGTTACAAGGGGTATTTGCAGAATTAGAAAAAAACTAACAATATTTAGTCCAATACATATATAGATTTAAAAACGTTTCGGTAAGAGGAAGTAAATTCCAGAGTGTTCTGTTAAAGCCAAAACACGGTGCACCTGTTTTGTTAAGCTTGAAACTTGCATGTTTGATGCTGATCTCGTGCTAAATATTTGAAGGGGGAACAAGATAAGCAAATCATATATGTAAATAGATATGGTTGGAATGAATTAAAAGAATATGAACTTTATCACCAGCACATTATAGTCCACAGTTTTTATTTATTTAAACTAAACTAGCAAACACTAAAACGAATGGTTTTATTTTATTGTATGTAGTTTTCTAAGTTCACAAAATTCTTTATTCCAAAAGTCTCGTTTTGACTTTCATTGTAGTTAACTACGATTTTTAAAATCTGGTTTTAGTTTTTAGTTACATGTCAGTTAACTATAATAACGTTCGGTCCTGGGAATTGTGCCAAAAAGTGATTGCTGATGTTTGTATGTGCATTTTGTCTAATATCCATAGTTATACTGGTAAATTCACGGAGGGGATTTATATAAAATTGATTTGTTTTGCAAGTATTCTGGTGACCCTGCATTGTTGTACTATAATCAGTCACATTATAATCAGTCCAGTCTTTTTTGCCAGTTAAAATATCTTTATAGAACTGTTAAAAGTCACTTTGCCAAAAAACTGATTGCAGTCTTTACATTGTGATGGAAATGTTCATGACTAAATATCATTCATGAGAGATATGTGTGACAGATTATAGGCCAACAAGCTATTTACAACAGCTTAAATACTGGCAATCACTTTTTGGACCCCTTTTGGGTTCAGAACTGCCTCGATTCTTCGTGGTATAGATTCAACAAGGTGCTGGAAACATTCCCCAAAATTTTGGTCTATGTTGACATGATAGCATCACAAAGCTGCTTCAGATTTGTTATGATGTGAACCTCCTGATCCACAATATCCCAAAGGTGCTGTGTTGGATTAAGCACAGGTGGCTGTGGAGGTCATTTTAGTGCAGAAAACTTCATGTTCAAGATATTAGTTTAAGGTGATTTGAGTTTTGTGACATGGTGTGTTACCCTGATGGAAGCAACAATCAGAAGACGGGTCATAAAAGGTCAGCAATAATATTCAAGTGTACTGTGGCATTTAAACTACGGGGCACAAAGAGCATCAAGAGAATATCCTCCACAACATGCTTCCTGTTCCTAGCTGATGGGAGTGGCACCTGGTATCTGTTTAAAGGTTTGATATGTTGATATGTTTCGAGTAGCTATTTGAGTAACTGTTGCCTTCCAGTCAGTTCAAAGTAATCTAGCTATTCTACTCTGATCTCTACCATCATCAGGGCATTTCTATTGATGACATAAGTAAGATATTTTCCTTTTTTTGGACCATTCTCTGAAAACACTAAGGATGTTTGTTTGGGAAAAATCCCAGCAGATCAAAAGATTCTAAAATACTCAAACTAGCCCGTCTGGCACCAACAAGCACGTCACGTTCAAAAACGCCTAAATCATCTTTCTTTCCCGTCTGACTCTCAGGTTGAACTTCAGCAGTTTGTCTTGCACAAATGCCTAAACATATTGAGTTGCGTTCGCACGATTGGCTGGTTAGATATTTGTGTTTAGCCGTTGATCAGGTTTACCTAATGACAGCAGATGCTAAAAGAGCCATCCAAGTCTCTGAGCCATCTTAAAGATGCTGTAGGTAACATGTTTTTGGCATAATTGAGAACAATTATTCCGTATTTTGTAAACCAAACCAAATACAAACGAACACTGAACAGAACAGAAAATGAAAATAGCTCAAAAAACAACAAGAACCAAACGTAAAAACAACTACAACAAATACAATATGAAAAATGATTAGGATAATCATGGAATCTGACTTCCATAAAATAAAATTACACAATCATTGTCATTTTAACAACTTTATGTGAAAAAGTAAGCGGTAGGAATAAACACGGAGTTGGATTTCTACAATTTTCTGCCTCTTACAACTTAAAGACAAAGATAAATGCATGCACTCTCTTATGCAATCATCTCATTTAGAATGTGGGGTTTAGAAAAGAAGCACATTTGTAAATCTTTAATTCACAGTAACATTTTAGATGCTTAATCGGGGCAAAAATAATGTCTGCAATTAAATAAGATCACGCTTTCTCTTCTACTTCTGTCCTTCCAGCAGTTGCCATGGATTCAGACAGTGAACTAAAAGAGATAGCCACTGAGATGAAACATCTCTCACTCAAAAGGGTACAACTTAAGGAGAGGAAAAACATTCTGTGCATATTTCAAGAGTTGAGGAATCGAGCTGAGTTTGGACAAACAGGTGAGCGCTCAAGCAACTTCTGTGACAGTGATGGCTGTTTGCAGTCTTTTATATTTTCCATGAGGAATAAAAGCAAGTTGCGCTATATGTATAATCTCTGCACGGTTACTGTTTTGTTTTGATAATCAGAGGAAGCAGTCTCTACTCAGAAGGAGATTGAGAGCCTCGATGAGAAACTGAAGGAACTGAATGAAAAACAGTCCGAGCTCCAGAAAAATTACGACAACATGCTCAATGCCACCAAAAACAAACAGCACAAGAAAGGTGAGTCCCAGTTTGCTACAGCAAATCTAGCACACTTTACGCAGCTAACCACATTTGTTCTTCTTTGTTAGTGGTCAGTTTCACAGACAAAGAGAATATAGATTCTGCTGCTCCTCCTTCTCCTCCTCCTGGCTCTAATATTGTCTATGTTGTGGCTCCGCCTTCTATCCCAGGTGAGCTACTTTTGGAAATTTGTCCTGTAAAACATAAAAGAAT